AGGCAGCTGCTTCTGGAAGGTGGCTCCATGGTTTTTTAAAAAACCACATCTTTATCCATTTGTCATAAAATCTCTGCTGCTATAAACATGGGTGTGTATATATAACTCTGTAGTATGATGCTTTTAATTCCAAGAAGGGAGGGCTGGGGATTTAGCTCAGCAGTGTGGTGGACTGCCTTGCAAGCACAAGGATCCGAGTTCAATCCTGGTACCAAAAAAAAAAAAAAAAAAAAAAATTCTTACAGAATTCCCAGAAGGGGAATAGCTGGGTCAAATGGAACCTCTAGTTTTAGCTTTTTGAGAAATCTTCACATTGATTTCCACAGTGGTTTCACCAGTCTGCACTCCCACCAACAGTGGAGAAGGGTTTCTTTTTCCCCCACGACCCCTCTAGCATTTGTGTGTGTTTGTGTAAGTACTGCATTTTTCTTTATCCATTCACTGTTTTTTGTTTTGTTTTGTTTCCCCCTCCAGGATTTGTTATTGATTGATTTCTTGATAGCAGCCATTCTTTCTGCTGTGAAATGGAATCTCAGAGTTGTTTTAATTTGCATCTCTCAAATGACCAGTGATGTTAAACATTTTTTCATATATTTTATTGCTGTTTCTACTTCATCTGAGAAGTATCTATTCACTTCAAATGCCCATTTTTGGATTGGGTCTTTAAATTTATGGGATCTGATTTTTGTTTATTTGTTTTGTTCTTTTTAGACCTTTGTCTAAGGAACAGCTGGCAAACATTTTTTCCCCCACACTGTGGGTTGTCTCTTCATTCTGTTGGTGGTTTCTCTTGCTGTGCAAAAGTTTTTTTTTTTATTTTATTGTTTTTGAGACAGGGTCTCGCTATGTAGTTCAGGCTGACTTTGAAGTCACTGTGTAGCCCAGGTTGGCCTCACGACAGTCCTGCTTCATTGTCCTGAGTGCTGGGATGACAGGCCTATGCCACCACACCAGGCCTAAACCACCATCCCCACCCCCCACCCTGCACCCCTGCTCTCCTCCCCCACCAGGGATGGAACGCAAGACCTTGTGTTTGGGAGGCAGGCAACTGAACTACTGAGCTAAATCCCCAGCCCCCTAAAAGTTTTTTAATAAGATGAGGTCTCAGTTGTTGATTCTTTGTAGTATTTCCCATGTGATTTGGGTTTTGTTCATGAAGTCTTTGCCTATATCTATGTCCTCACACATTCTACTTTGTCTTCCAGCAAATTTAGTGTTTTTTAGTATATGTGCTGCCGAAGTGAGCACATAGTGTTTTTGTTTTAATATTTAGATCTTTGATGCATTTAGGTTTTAGGTTACTACATGGTGAAAAATAAGAGGTCTAGTTTCAATCTTAGGCATATGGAAAGCCAGTTTGTCCAGTACCATTTATTTATTATTTATTTATTTTAGTATCTGGGATTGAACTCAGGACCTTGTGCTTGTGAGGCAGGTGGAACCACTGAGCTAAATCCCTGGCCCAAGTCCAGTACCATTTATTAAAGAGGCTTTTGTTCTTCTTTTAAGGTTTTAAGGAGCCTTCAGGTTCCAGCATCTTTCTAGGTTGTAGGACCCAGTTTACATTGAGTCTTACTGCGCTGCCATGTTTTTCTCTAGATCATTGCTCAAATATCAGTGTGCCTAGGAAACTTCAGTGTGCCGAAGCTAGATTCTAATTTCTGGGGCAGGTTGAGATCTGTATTTCTTACAAAGCGTTCTCCCCACACCCCAAAATGAGGTCCTGCTGTGTTGCCTAGGCTGGCCCTCACACCATGGGCTCAAGTGACCCTCTCACCTCACCTTCCTACCTAGTAGTTGGGACTATTGTCACATACCACTGCAACTAGATTCATGGGTCTTTTTTCAGCAAGGGTCTCGACTGATGGTTGTTAAACTTAGGACATCATCTGATACATCTAGAGATTTTATTTTTTTTCCTGGTACTGGGAATTGAAGTCAGAACCTTGTTCTTGCCAGGCAGGTGCAGCAACTTTGAGCTAAATCCCTGGCCCAATATCTGGAGAGTCTTTTAAAAAAAAATGTGTGTGTGTGTGTGTGTGTGTATGTGTACACACACTAGCCCAGGCTGTCCCTGAACTTACACAGATCATCCTGTCTCAGCCTTCTGAGTGCTGGAATTACATGCATGTGCCACCATGTGCTTAAACTCAGAATTTTTTTTGGGGGGGGGTACCAGGGATCAAACTCGAGACCTTGCTCTTCTGAGGCAGGGGGCAGAACCATTGAGCTAAATCCCCAGCCTCTAACTCAAAAATTTTTAATGGAGTTTTGTTTAGGTTCTAGGGATTGTTTTGGCTTTATAGATGTTTTTTGTTTCTTTGTTTTAAAGAAAATTCCCCAGTCTTATTTTGTTTGATTTTTGTATTCTCTTTCATTACAGGGCCTCATGCATGCTTGGCAAGCACTTTACTACTAAGCTGCATTTCCATCCCCCAGGTTATTTTAATAATCAGTTTGATTATTGGTCTAGATTCTAATATATTATGGATGCATTGTCCCACACAATACAGACATGTGAATGGACCATTAATATAGCTTCAGTAAATGTTTTGATTAGGGATCATTTGTTTAAAAGGGTGAGACTGCTTGAGACCAACAAGTTTGAGAACAGCCTGAGAATGAGAACCCATCTGAGAGAGAGAAAGATTTTAATTCATCTTTTTAAACTATACATTTTTTTTCAAACAAGAAACTGAAGTAATTTTTATTAAAATTCCACTTTGAGGAGGAAGAGAGTGGAATTTAAACCTCCATCATGAGAGAATAGAGACAGTGTGTGTCACTATGAATTGAAGAATTATGTAACTACTATCCTGTATTTTTTTGTTTTGTTTTGGTTTTTGAGACAGGGTCTCACTGTGTAGTGAGACTGACCTGGAACTCACTATGTAGTTCAGGCTGATCGCGAACTCACAGCGATCCTCCTGCCTCAGCCTCCCGAGTGCTGGGATTACAGGCATGTGCCACCATGCCCGGCCACTATTACCTATATAGGAAAAAATTTTCAAAATTAATTTTATTGCTACATTTAATACGTACAATATAATGACATTCATTGTTGGAAATTTGTACCTTTACATAATCCATCTTGGTTCTTATTTTTTCCCCATTTCCCCTGCTCCCTTCAATCCCTCCCTCCCTATCTACAAAGACTTTGTGTCCATTATTTTGCATTATTATAACCTCACTTGATCTCACTTTTTAAAATATGTATATAAACTTCCTTATACTCTTAATAGAATTTTGCCGTAATTCTAAAATTTAAGCAAGACATATCCAAGGGTTCATTCTTCAATATTTCCTCCCTTCTTACCACTTCCAGTCATATTATGGTCTCATACTTCCATAAATGTAAAAGTAATACATATGTGGGCCAGGGATGTGGCTTAGTGGCACTGTGCCTGCCTAAGAAGTGCAGGTCCTGAGTTCAATTCTACTACTACTACATATGTTGAAATTCCTAAATGCATTCCTCTGTCCTGGGCTTCTCCTCTGACTTCCAGAAAATCTTCTTGATTTTTTTTTTTTCCTCATTGAGTTTATTGGTACATTTTAGGTATACAGTACAGTTAGATTCATTATTTGGATCTTGTACCTTTACATGACAGGTCTTGGTTCTCATTTTTTCCCCTTGTCCCTGCCCTCCCTTCAATCCCTCCTCCCCTCCCCCTACAAACACTTTATTTCCATTTTTTCATTTTCTCATATTTTTTTCTTTTCCCTTATTACCTTTCCCCTACCCTTCCCACTTTCCCTACTCCTTCAGCCCCTTTCTTCCAAGAAAGGGGCTAAACGATACATTTTAAAAACTTATTTATTTTATAGTACAAGAGATTGAACCCAGGGCCTTCATACTAAGCTACATCTCTAGCCCCTTTATTTTTTATTTTGAGAGAGGGTCTAGCTAAGTCATGTAAGTTACCCATGCTAGACTCAAAATTGTAATCATTCTATCTCAACCTCCCAGATTGCTGGAATGATTGCAGGTTTGTACCACCACACCTGACCCTAGGATATATATTTTATGAAGGCAGAGATTATTTCTCCCTGGTTTATAGTTACATTCTTTCTTTGGGTGGTGATTGGCATCACAAGTATTCTACCACTGAGCTACACCCCCACCCCACTAACAAATGAAGAAAGGTTGAACCACTGAATCACATGAAGAATTTAACAATAGACTCCATTGAGAATGTTCTTTCTCTAAGACTGATCTTTTCCATAAAAATAATCCGTGGGTTGGGCCAGGGATTTAGCTCAGTGGCATCACACCTGCCTTGCAAATGCATGGTCCTGAGTTCAATCCTTGGTACAGAAAAATAATAATTATAATCATAATCATCTGTGGGTTGAATCCTAGAAAGGAAAGGGAATTAGGTTGGTAAGAGGTGGAAGAGAACATTTTAGGTAGAGGAACAGCATGAGCAAAGGTAGGAATGCATAGAACAAAATGGTGATAGATATTTTCTGGAATCTTTTCAGAAAACCTAGGCATGTTTAATAGTGGCTGTGAGGTGTCCTGGGAATAGTGTTTTGCATACAAGTTTTTCTACATGTGAGGAATAAATATAAAATATGCCCATTTGTGTTGGTCTGGTTCTTTGTGTCCATAGCCTATTACAAGGCTTGTCTGAAGCTTTCTGTGCTTTTTAAGCAGAATTTAGTAACTCGTAATCTGTATGTATGTAGGATGGTAAACATATCTCTAGCATTATGTTTATTATTTTCAAATTTCATTGGACTAATAGCCCTGACCATGCCTTTACTAATTCCCAGGGTATAGCATGTAGTACACTTCAAATGTTTGATGGAGGACTGGAGGTAATAGCTCTGTGGTAGGGCACTTGCCTAACATGTATGAGACCTGAGTTCATCCCCAGAACTGCAGGAAATTAAAGGGGGGGGGTGTTTGATAATCAAACAAATGATATTTATACCCAGCATCATCCACATTAAGTAAAAACTGTGTTCAGCTTCTGTATCCTTTTCTCTTACAGCTATTTGTAGTGGATGTCGAGACAAGCCAGATCACAAAGATCCCCATTCTGAAGGACCGGGAGCCTGGAGGTGTGACCCAGCAGGGCTGTGGCATCCATGCTATTGAGCTGAATCCCTCTAGAACACTGTTAGCCACAGGAGGAGACAATCCCAACAGTCTTGCCATCTATCGACTGCCTACACTGGATCCTGTGTGTGTGGGAGATGTAAGTTTACTCATTAGTTATAGTTGGAGGTAACTTTACTTTTAAACAGGAACTATTAGGTAACATGTATCTTTTGTCTACCTGGGTGGGAATAGTTCCCTCTAGAGTTCTGTTGATTCTAGGAACCTGATGGTGAGGTATAGGGTGATGATGCAGAGGGATTAGACTTCATCTGGCATAAGAAATATTTTGGCAGAAGAGCCTATGTTTCATGAAGGTACAAGCAGCACGTCTTGGGGGCCAAAAGCAATGGGTTTCTGTTTGAATCTGCAGTGTTCACATATCTCCCACTGTAAAGTCAGAGAGCAACTTTATTAAATCATCCATTGAGTACCTGTGGAGTCTTCTTTATTCAGGCATTGTTTTAGACCCTAGTGGACACAGAGTGAATGAAATAGTTAAAGCCCCTTACTCTTGTGAAGCCTACATTGTGATGAAATGTGACACATCAACCACATGAACCAATAACTATTTTCCAGTTATATGTCGGTGCAGTATGTGCTATGGAGGAGAATAACATCAAGACACAGAATAGAGAAGATAGGGGATATTATATTAGAGAAAGCCTCATTGAAAAGGTGATATTTGAGCAGGGACACTTAAGGAAGAGGTACAAGCTTTGTATATGTTCCAGACAGGAAGTAGGAAACTTAGATAAGATATCTAGAGGTAGACAGTAAGAGCTCTTCATTCAAGGGATATGTTTGTTACCTGCAGTAGTACCTATTTCTTTCCAGCTTTGACCGTTAAGAAGGATTATGAGGGGCTGGGGATTTAGCTCATTGGTTCCACTGCCTGCCTTGCAAGTGCAAAGTCCCGAGTTCAATCCCCAGTACCAAAAAAAAAAAAAAAAAATGGATTATGAGGCTGGGTACTGTGGCACATTCCACCTGCTCAGGAGACAAATTCAAGGCCTATGCTGGCAATTTAACAAAACTCTTAAAACAAAACAAAACATAAACTAAGATTACACCTGTAATTCCAGCACCCTGAGAGACTGAGGGAAAGGGATCATGAGTTCAAGGCCAGTGTGGGCAGTTTAGTAACTTACTGAGAACCCTGTCTCAAATTTTTAAAAAAATTTTAAAGACCCAGGAACATAGCTCTATATGACAGCCCTGGGTTTCAATATCTAGTACCACCAAAAAAAAAAAAAGAAAAAAGGTAAAGATTGTGAGTTGAAATCAAGCCCTATTGGTTGACATCACCAGCTACCACAGTTGTAATTTTTTCAAAAAGATATTTTCAGTCATATCTGAATCTTTTTCAAGAGCATTCATTACAATCCTATTTCACTGTTTATTTTTTGTTTCCCTCCCTGTACCTGTCATTCTTCCCTTCAAGGATGGACACAAGGACTGGATCTTTTCCATTGCATGGATCAGCGATACTATGGCAGTGTCTGGTAAAGTTATCTTTTTTAGGGACCTTTTGGTGTGGCAAGGACATACGGCTGGAGTTTGAGAAGCAGCAGTAGTATTTTAGGAAATAAAAATGGTAGACAGAAACAGCAGGAACCCAGAGCTCTTGTTTCCACTATTTGCTTTTCCTCTGTTGCCATGTAACTGGATAAATCGATTCCCTTATATCTTAACTTATCTGTAAAGTGGAGATGTTAGCAAATCCATCTATTATTCATTCTCGTTTCAAAAAGCATGTATGATAGTATGTTGTGGCAATATCATGTTGTGGATAGACATGTTTTTGTTTGGCTTCATTGAGGTTATGGTGGTGAAAATGTTTTGGAAATGTTGATGTCATCTCCAGAGTATTAGAAGCAATTATCTGTCAACTGCCCAACACTAAATTTGATAGAAGCTGCATAGGACTTGGGGGGATTTCTTTTCCAGCGATTAGAAGAGTCGGAGGGTGATAAATGCATGTAGAAAAATTAACCTACAGAATCAAATGCTTTCTGACTACCCACAGCAGCCTAGAATGTTGGCTCAGAATGCTAACTAGCTTTGCTTGATACCCATAGATAAAAATACAGTCCCCCTCATTTCAGATTCCCAAGAGAAATAATCAGTGGTTACCAAAGTGAGTACTTTACATATGTTATTTCATGTAACCCTAAGAATGATACTAGCAGGTTTGTACTGTTAGACTCGTATCATAGATGAGAACTTTTGTTGTTTTTTGAGTCAGGGTCTTGCTATGTAGTTCAGGCTGTCCTTGAACTCTCTGTGTAGTCCAGGCTGTCTTTGAATTCCCAGTGCTCCTCTTAACCCAGTCTCCCAATGGCTGGCGTTACAGGCATGGGTCATCATCTGGGTGGATTCTTTGTCATTTGATCTCCCAGTGGAATGAGAGCTGTTTTTAAGATACAAGCTGCGTCGTGTCATACTTGTGGGATACTCTCATATGAGGGTAACTTCAATAAATTTGGTTCATGGGAGCTATGACTTAGGTTTGTTTTGAGAAACTCCCATCTCTTCTTTCAGAAATTCTGGCAGTATCTTATGTTCTTGGACTGATGGCTCCCATATCTGCATTTCCTGAACTGTATAGAACAGTTTAAAACAGCTGTGGCTCAAGCTTGCAGTCCTTCTGCCTCAGCCTCCCAGAATGTAGGAATTACAGGCATGTGCCACCACACCCAGTTTACTCTTGTTTTTTTGAGACAGGATCTCACTGTGTCAGTATGGTGAACCTTTTAAAACTGTCAATGATAATAAACTGCCAACTCTGGTACCTGTGCCCTAGATTTGCTGCCACTGCGCTGTGTATTCCAGGCTGGCCTCAGACACACAATTCTCTTGCCTTAGCCTTCTGAGTGGTAGTACTATAGGCATGAGCTGCCGTATCCAGCTAGTATTAGTTACTCAATAGGGTGGCGGTGCTGAAAATTAAATGCAGGGCCTTTGCCCTGAGCTATGTCCTCAGCTCTTTTTAAGAATTTTTTTAAGGCCAGGGATTTGTCTCAGTGATGCTGCTGCCTACCTTACAATGCAAGGTCCTGAGTTCAATCCCTGGTACCAAAAACAAATTTTTAAAAAAAATTTTGACATAGGAAAGTGGTGGGAAACCTGTGGCCCATGTGTCACAATGGTCTATTTGTTATCACTGAAAGCTCTAAAAGGTTTGCCATCACTGATGCAGAGCCTCACTAAGTTACCCAGGCTGGGCATGAACTTGTGATCGTGCTGCTAGGATTATAGCTGTGTACCACCATGCTCTGCTTATTTGTTACTCTTTTTTTTGAGACAGGGTCTCACTATGTAGTTGAGACTGCCCTGGAACTCACTGTGTAGCCCAGGCTGGTGTCAAATTCACAGCGATCCTCCTGCCTCAGCCTTCCAAGTGCTGGGATTACAGGCGTGCGCCATCATGCCTGGCTTTGTTACTCAGGCTAAATATGAGTATCATCCCATGAACATTTTGTGCCTCAAAATCAGAATGTTAAGGGGCCAGGGATTTAGCGCAGTGGTGCCACACCTGCCTCACAAATGCAAGGTGCTGTTCAATCCCCAATACAAAAAAAAAATCAGAATGTTCAGAATTCTCATCTCCCTCCCAAGGCTTGTCCCTCTCTGCCACTGAGATGTATTGGCTCATGCTCCCATCTTCCAGCTAGGTCCGCAGTAGAGAACTGAAACTCATCTTAGAGGTAGGAGATACAGGTCAATGGTAGAACACTTCCTAGTGTTCATGAGGCCCTGGGTTCAATTCCTTACTCTGCCAAAAAACAAAAAAATTAACACTTAGGCTCTTCAGCCTCCTAAAATTGCCAAACTCTGGTGATAACTATTTTCTAAAATATCTCTTAAATCCATCAATTTCTTTTCTACCTTCTCAAGTGCTTATCATCTATCTCTTAAATTGTACCAGTATCCTTTTATATTTTCTCTTTGCTTTTACACCACTGAGCTACATCCCTGGCATGTTTTGTTTTGTATTTTGAGACAAGGTCATGCTATGTAGTCCAGGACAGTTTTGAACTCACTTCGTACTCAGCATCCTCCTGCTTCAGCCTCTCAAATGGGATTATAGAAATATACCACCACGTCTGCTTTGGAAAAAGTACATGGTTTTTGCTTACCATGGTAATCCCAGCTACTTGGGAGACTGAGGCAAGAGGATTCACAAGTTTGAGGCCAGCTAGACAAGGTCCTGTCTCAAAAAAGGAATGTAGCTCAGTGATGGAGCAGTTGCTTAGCCTGAATGAGACCCTCACATCCATCCCTAGTACTAAAAACAAAAAATAGTTTGTTTTCAGCACTGGGTATTCAATCTAGAGGTTTCATGCCACTTAAACTGCATCCTCGGCCATTTTTTATTTTGAGCCAAGGTCTTGCTAAATTGCCCAGGCTGGGTTTAAGATTGCAGTTCTTCTGCTACAGCCTGCCAGGATGCTGGGATTAGAGACATGTACTACTGTAAAGAGATTGTAATCTCTGTATCCATGGAAAGCTTTAAGGAACCCCATGGATTTCCTGAAATATGGTGATTTACTAGAGGCTGGGTATGTAGATCAGAGGTAAAACCCTTGCCCAATGTGCTTGAGGCCCTGGGTTAGATTCCCAGCATCATGAAAAGGAGGGGTGGTGAGAGCAGGTGAGAGGAGAGAAGAAGGAGGATGTGGGGAGAGGGGGGCAAAGGAGAGAAGGATGAGGGTGTATTTTTCTAGAGAAAGAGCTTTGTAATAATCTTAAATCTCTTAAACCCAAAGATTAAAAAACTTTTGGCCGGGGATTTAGCTCAGTGGTTCTGCCACCTGACGTGAAAGCGCAAGGTCCTGAGTTCAATTCCCTGGACAAAAAGAAAATCTTGTAAGTACCAGTTGGGCTTCCTTGTGCATGCCTGTAATCCCAGCACTCTAGCAGGCTGAGGCAGGAGGATTTCAAAGTTCCCACCTGGGGGAACTTTGCAATTTAGCCAGGTCCTGTCTCAGAATAAAAACTGGGAGGGGCTGGGGATTTAGCTCAGTACCTGCCTGCCTTGTAAGCACAAGGTCTGGAGTTGGATTCCCAGTACCAAAAAAAAAAAAATCATCCTGGAAAATAACTGGGCTTTATCATCCTGAGTTAAATTTTCTTAAAAAAATCCCACTAGTCATGTTAAACTGCTGAAAAGTTATATTGTAATTCCTAGACCTTAGTTGAATCATCTTAAATAACTATTTAAATTACTCCTGCCAGATGGTGTTGTAACTCACTGGTAAAGCCACCTGCCTGGCATTTGTAAATCCCTTGATTTCTGCCCCAACACCATCCCCCCAAAATGTATAAAATGCCTACTTCTCTGTCACATGGCCAAGCCACAGTACTGATAAGGAAAATGCCAAGAACTAAAGAAAGTCCATGTTTGCTTCTGTGGAAGTGTCCCATGGAGATGTGAATATATTTGATATCTGTGGTCTCTGCTCTGCAGGCTCGCGTGATGGTTCTATGGGACTCTGGGAGGTGACAGACGATGTGTTGACCAAAAGTGATGCAAGGCACAATGTGTCACGGGTCCCTATGTATGCTCACATTGCTCACAAGGCCTTAAAGGACATCCCCAAGGAGGACACAAACCCTGACAACTGCAAGGTCCGGGCTTTAGCCTTCAATAACAAGAACAAGGTATGAATACCTAAAAAGTACCAATAAACTCAATGTGGAAAAAAAAAAAAACAAGGTATGAAGTCACAGAGGAATCTGTGAAGCCTGTTCTCTTAGTGTATGTCTCAGGAGATGAATCCCATTTTCCCTCCCCATGTCAGTGCTTTCTGTATAGCTTGCTTCTGTATCCACAGAACACCTGTTAAAGGCTGAGGGATGCTAGTGCAAAATAATGAGACTGTGAGACCCACCTTGGGATTGTCCTCTGCGGTATTTCTCTAGGTGGGCCATTTTTGTGGGTCAACCTCATAGTTTCCCCAGGGCCACCCTGATTTGACTGTGCTTCATTTGCACATGTCTGCAGTGGCTCTGTGGTTTTTCATACTTGCCTTTAAAAGCAATCATTTTTTTTCTCAGTTCCTATTCCTCTTCACTACCTCCTTTCCCTTCACACTGTCGCCATTGCCTTACCTAATAATTGTGTCAGATCTCCTGACAACAGTGTTTTGAATGTAAAAATGTAGACCCAGGACTGGGGATTTAAATTGCTCAGTGGCTGGGTTGGGGATTTAGCTCAGTGGTGCCACCACCTGCCTCACAAATGCAAGGTCTCTATTTCAGCCCCTGGTACCAAAAAAAACAACAAAAACCTGAAATGCTCAGTTCAAAGCTACCCTCAAGTACATAGACCCTGTCTCAAAAAAAAAAAAAAAAAAAAAAAAAAAAAGAGAGAGAGAGAAATTTAACCTTTAGCCAGAAATACAGATGGGGATAGGCTAAGAAAACTTCCCTTCAGCTGTGACATGGTTCAGATTTTACAGAAGCCTTTTACCTCTTCTGGTTCTGGATCTACATTTTTTTTTTTGTATCAGGACCTTGAACTGTTAGCTTTGAACTCATTATGTACTGTGTAGCCCAGGCTGACCTGGAACTCACAGCAAAATTCTTGCCTCAGCCTCCCAAGTGCTGGGACTACAGGGGTATGTGACCACACCTGGCCTAATTTTTCTCTTCTAGATTAAACCTTTTACTTAATAGCTCTCACCATGAGATTTAGGCAGCTGTCCTTCACTTGTATGCTGTTCTTCAACAATCCAAAAGGATGTTGGGAATGATGGCATAGTGAGGTCTTTTTGAACATGGGTACCTGGTTATTACTATAGCTCAGACTTCCTTCTTGCAGTTTAATATACTGTGGTCCATAAGCTGATAATTATGGGCAGTCCTGTGGATATCATCATGACATAGAAGTAAAGGAGAGGACCCTTGCTTTCTGTTATATTTTAGTTGCTACAGATTGACCTATGACTTGTTTTTTGTTGCTCTTACAGGAATTGGGAGCAGTGTCTCTGGATGGCTACTTTCATCTCTGGAAGGCTGAAAACACATTGTCTAAGGTATGAACATGGCTTAATACTTTAACCTAATGATTTTTGTTTTGTTTTGTTTTGTTTTTGAGACAGGGTCTCACTATGTAGTTGAGACTGACCTGGAACTTACTATGTAGTCCAGACTGATCTCCAACTCACAGCGATCCTCCTGCCTCAGCCTCCCAAGTGCTGGGATTATAGGCATGTGCCACCACACCCAGCTCTTTAACCTAATGATTTACTTTATGGTTAAAATACTCTTAATTCCCAGGGCTGAAGTACAGCTCACTGGTGGAATGCTTGGCTAGGATGTGGAAGGTACTGGGTTTGGTCCCCATCACTGCAAAATAATAATAATGATTTTCCTTGAGCCTTTTGATTATAGTCTAAAACACCCAGTCTCCAGGGGTCCAGGCATGTTGTGGCAAAGTACATGAAATCAGTCTGGCATGCCTCTCTTGAAGGAAAGTCTTTTTAAAGAGATTGGCGGAGCTAGGCACAGTGGCACATGCCTGTAATCTCATCACTTGGGAGCATTTTGAGTGCCACCTGAACAAGTTAGCGAGACCTTGTCTTAAAAATAATTTTTCCACCGCCTGCCTTGCAAGCACAAGGTCCGGAGTTTAATCCCCAGTACCAAAATAATAATAATAATAATTTGTAAAATAGACTGGGAAGCACTGAAGATATAGCTCAGCAGCACCATTCCTGTCTGACAAGCACAGGGTCCTGAGTTTGATCCCAGCACTGAAAAAATAATAATAAAATAATAAAGATAAAAGCATGAAAAGCCACACACAGTGGTACACATCTGTAATCCCAGCATATGGGAGGCTGAGGCAGGAGGATTGCCTTGAGTTCCAGGCCAGCCTGGGCTACATACTGAGTTCAAGGCTAGCCTGAACAATATAGCAAGACTCTGTCTCCAAAAATAATAGCAAAAAATAAAAATAAAAAGCCGAAAGCTGGGTGTGGTGGCACACACCTATAATCCCAGCAGTTGGGCGGCTGAGGCAGAAGGATCACCACAAGTTCAAGACTAGCCTGGGGTACATAGTGAGTTCAAAATCAGCTTGAACTACGTAGCAAAACCCTATGTCAAAAACCACAAAAAACAAAGCCTGGGCTACATAGTGAATTCCAGGTCATTCTCAACTACATAGTGAGACCCTGTCTCAAAAAAACAAAACAAACAAAACCACAAAAACAAAAAGGCATGGTAAGGTGGCTGAGTATGTAGCTCAGTGTGTAGGCCCTGGATTCAATCCCTTATACCACACACACATATGGCAACCAAAAAAAGACAGGAAAGGGTTAGTCTGAGAGACTACTTTAAACTAGCAGTCCTCTAGTCCACAATGAATTTAAATGTTTGTTTATAGATTATTGGGTTTTTTTGTTTGTTTTTTTGGACCGGGGATAGAACTCGGGTCCTTGCACTTGCGAGGCAGGCGGTGGAACCATTGAGCCAAACCCCAGCCCTGTTTATAGATTATTGAATGCTTAGTATGTTTTAAAGGCAGGCAAACATAAATGTTAGGTACTACTGGTGACTGAAGATAAACCATGTGTGATAATGAGATAAGTTACAAGTATTACAAATAGCTTTTTCATAGAGTTAAGCCTGCATATGAATCATTTGCCCTTCTACTTCTCATTTGCTACTTCTCAAGGCTTTTTCTCAAGAGGAAGCAGGACTAGATATGGAGAGGCATACTTATAATGACAGCGTTACCCAGTTTAAGGTGCTCGCATCTTGGTTTCTAGGTTCTTCTCATCTGGAAAAAGATAAACAAAATTGGTGAAAAGGCTTATTTGAAATAGTAAAAGTGAGGGGTAAGGGAGGAAACAGGCTCTGCAGAGTGAACTTGGGCCAAATAAGGAGAAAAGTATACTCTGAAAAACACAGGGTGGGCTACCATGAGGAAAGCCATGGTAGCGAGCTTTTCATAGCATCTGTGTCTTTTTATGCCATCCACACCTCACAGGAACCCCAAGAGAATGTGAGAGGCAGTGCTAGGTAGATTCTAGGATCCTGCCAAACCTGACTTCCCAGCCAGTCTAAGCCACTCCCTATTTCCTATCTCAATAGCAAGAGTCTGAGGCAGGAGTGATGAAAGCCATCCTGGGCTGGTATAGAGTTCGAGGCCAACCTGGATTAGTGGTATGAGACCTTATCTCAAAAAAAAAAAAAAATTGTTAGAAATGAGCCCCCAGACTCAAATTGTCGGTGCTGGAAAGTGCACTTTGAAAGCAAGCAAGAGAACACAACAAGGCAAAGTTTAGTTTTCTTCTGCAGAAGGGCGCAAGAGGCAAGTAGGCACACTGAGCAAGCAAAGAAATGGGAGTTTTTAAGCCCTCACGCACAGGAAGCAGCTATCCTTTACATTCATTGGCTGAATTCAAAGGTTTACAATCACTGGGTGTGGTGGTGCACGCCTGTAATTCCAGCATTCGGGAGGCTGAGGCAGGAGGATCTCTGAGTTTGAGAACAGCCTGGGTTACATAGTGAGTTCGAGATCAGTCTCAACTACATAGTGAGACCCTGTCTCCAAAAAACCAAAAACAAAAACAAAGGTTTACAATCTATCACGGTTGGCTAGTTTAAGCAGCAAGCAGTGATTGCTTCTCGGCCTTTTTTGGCTAAGATCAAGTGTAAGCAGCAAGCAGTGCAAGGGAAGGATCCAAAGGGTTGCTGGGGGTAAGGAAAAGTGGAGGGAAGAGAGTGTGGGGGAGAGAAGGTCCTTGGCTGTTGATAAGCTATCTTGGTCTGTAGTTATGTTTCAGAATTTAAACTGAGCAGGCATTTCCATAATTTCAGTGTGTTTGGGAGGGGCTGCCTAGGGTGGGGGTGCTCCTGACAGGGCCACAGTTTCTCACAAGAGAAAGCAGGGCTCTGGGAATTACTGACTCCCTTTATGTCATGGCATCTCTAAACTCTGACCTTGGATGGTGTCTCATGTGCAGTAGGCACTCACTGAGAATTTGCCAAGTGACAAGGATCCAGGTTTGCGGCTGATTCGGGTCATCTGGATTACAGTTTCCATTCAGCTGGGGAGTTGGTCTGAGGGTAGCCAGAGATCAGCCTCTTTGTATGAAGAACAGTGAGAAGGGCATTGTCTCTTCCTGAAGACTAAACGGGGTAGAACCTTGGCGTTTAGTACCCTATGGTTATTCCTGGAAACAACCAGCAGGTCTTTACCTTTCCTGGCACTTCTCATTATTTAATTCCAGTTTACCTTTTTCCTTAAGCAAAGGTTATTTCATTTTTTTAAAATTAGTTAATGTATAGGGCCGGGGATTTAGCTCAGTGGTTCAGTGGCCTGCCTTGCAAGCTCAAGGACCCGAGTTCAATCCCTGGTACCAAAAAAAAAAAAAAATTAGTTAATTTATGCTGGGAATTTAGCTCAGTGGTTCTGCCTCCTGCCTTGCAAGTGCAGGGACCTGAGTTTGATCCCAGGTACCAAAAAAAACAAAAATTAGTTGATTTATTTATTTAGCTGTATTAGGGATTGAACCTAGAGCCTTTGCACTAAGCCACACTCACAGCCTGTTCTTTTTTTTTTTGGTTCCAGGGATCAAACTCAGATCCTTCCGCGTGCAAGGCAGGTGCCAGAACCACTAAACTAAATCCCCAGCCCCAGCCTGTTCCTTTATTTTGAGACAAAATTGCTAAATTGCTGAGTTGCCCAGGCTAGGCTTGCACTTTTAATCCTCCCGCCTCAGCCTCCTGGAGTGCTGGGATTACAAACAAGTGTCACACCTAGCAGATTATTTCCTTATCGGGTCGCTGTTTTCTCTGACCTTATGTAGCTGTATATGAGTGAAACTCAGAGGTGGGAATTGAAGCAAAAAGCCTCTGGCTTGTACACTCTGGTGATACCATGGCTACATCTCTCCTCTCTTTTCAGCTCCTCTCCACCAAACTTCCCTATTGGCGGGAGAATGTGTGTCTGGCCTATGGTAGTGAATGGTCAGTGTATGCAGTGGGCTCCCAAGCTCATGTCTCCTTCTTGGATCCACGGCAGCCATCAAACAGTGTCAAGTCTGTATGCTCTAGGGAACGAGGCAGTGGTAAGTCCTGGTATGTCTTTTGTGACTAGCAGATACATTACCAGTAGATGACCTTCAGTTCCTATGGTGCTTTGCTTTTTTTTTTTTGAAACAGGATCTCACTATGTAGTTGAGACTGACCTGGAACTCACTATGTAGCCCAGACTGGTCTGGAACTCACAGTGATCCTCCTGCCTCAGCCTCCCAAGTGCTGGGATTACAGGCATGCACCACCATGCCCGGCTCCTATGGTGCTTTCTAAAGAAATATAGTGATGGATATGTAACATGGAAGTATTTGTCGTGTTTTTGTTTGTTTGTTTGTTTGTTTTTTAGGAGATTTTTAAAAATTTTTTGTTTTATTTATGCAAGTATTTGTCAATCAGAGATGAGCTTAAATATCTGTATATGGCAGCAGAGTTTCAGATACCACAGGAACATTTGCTGAAAACCAACAGTCAAGACATTACTGGCTTCTATGTTTTTTTTTTTCTTTTCTTTTTTTCAGAGAGCTCTACTTTCTGTCCTATGGTAATTTTTTACTAGGGCCCTGCCTGAATTAAAATTCTATTTATATGAGAGAATGGCATGGTGGATTGAGGAATTTACAAAGGGGCATGAGGGTATTTTGGGGTGTTTATTATCTTGATTGTGGTCGTGGTGTCATGGATGTAACATGTTACCATGCTGTCAGATTCAGGCTGGAGGTATAGCTCAGGGTAGAGCGCTTTCCTAGCACATACAAGCACCTAGTTCAATCCCCAGGACTGAAAAAACAACCCTCAAATTTGTTTGTTTTTTTTAGAATGCTGTGTATTTAACTCAGGATCTTCACACTAAGCTACATCCTCAGCTCCTCTTTATTTTCTGTGACAGAGTCTCACTAAGTTGTCCAGAGTGGGCTCAAGTTTTGAGTTCCTCTTGTCTCAGCCTCTCAGAGTGCTGGGATTATAAGTGTGCATCTCCATATCTAGCTCCACATTGTATACTTAAATATGTTTAGTGTTTTATATGACATTTGTACTTCAATAAAACAAGAAAACACTGAGTTTAGTTCTGAGTACTGGGTGAGCTTAAACCTACAATCTTGTTTTGTTTGGTACCAGGGATCGAACTCAGGACCTTGCACTTGCAGGTCAGGTGGCGGACCCATTGAGCGAGCTAAATTGCCAGCAAACCTACAATCTTGTATAGCATATTCTAAGAGCATCCTGTTCTTTACTGGAGAACTATAAACATCCTGTAGGCATGTTTATAGTATACTTGAAGGTTTCAAAATACCTTTTTCTAAACTGGGCATGGTGACATATGCCTTAATCCCAGAATTTGGGAAGCTGAGGCAGGAGGATTACTGTTGAGTTCCAAGGCCAGCCTGAACTACATAGTGAGACCCTATCTCAAAAACAACAACAAAAACCACAGAATACCTTTTTCTGACATCTCATTTCATCCTACCCTGAGAATCCCTTGGGAAGAACATAGTAAAAGACCCAGCTACTAAAGAGCTGAGGCAGGAGAGTCACTTGATCCCAGGAATTCAAGGCTACCTTGGGCAACATTGTAAGACCCCATCTTAGCCAACCTGTAATCACAGCACTCAAGAGGCTGAAGCAGGAGGATTGCCATGAGTTTGAGGACAACCTGGGCTACATAAACAGTGAATTCAAGGCCAACCTGAACTATATAGCAAGACACTGTCTCAGCAGCACACCCCTCAAACTAAAAACAAAGAATGAATGAAAAAGAAAGAAAAGAACAGAACAGAACAAAGCTCTAGTAGCTCATGTCTATAATCTCAGCTACCTGGGAGACTAAGCAGGAGGACTACAAGTTTCAGGCCAGCCTGGAGCGCTTATCTCAGAATAAAAAGAGCAGAGTATATAGATCTTCCTGCTTGAGCCTTCTGAGTGCTGGATTACAGGTGTGTGTGCCACTGTGCCTAGTCATCGCACAGCTTGTTGAGGGAACAGCCAGGGATTGGAATCTAGATCATCCAGTTTAATGAAGTATTTTCTTATCTTACTTTTTTTTGCTTCTCCTTTCCCCTTCTCCCCTCCCCCCTCTGCTTCTCTTCTTTCTCCCCTTCCCCTTCCCCCCACCCTCCCTTTTTGATATACTACTGGGAATTCAACCCAGGCCACACTGAACTATGTGCCCAGCCCTTTTTTTGCTTTGTTTTGTTTTTGCTTTTGAGACCAGTCAGCCCTCAATCTTGGAATCCTCCTGCCTCAGCCTGCCAAGTAGCTGGGATTACAAACATGCACCACCATAGTACCTATTTATTTTTTTAGACAGGGTCTCACTATGTAGTCTAGGCTGGTCTTGAACTATGTAGTTTAGGCTGACTTCACACTTGCAGAGATCCTCCCGCCTCAGCTGCCATATCCAGTTCTTTTTTTTTTATCCAGTTCTTATTTTAAATTATATTAAGACACTCACATTTTAGAACAGAAAACAGTGAGTAATAATGAAAGCAATAGGAGAAGGAATCAATAAACTTGGCTGGAATGATGTATATAATGAAAAGTTTTAAGAGATTTTGGTCCCTGTTAGAGTAGCTTTATACCTAATAAGGAAATACTGGTTCCACAAATGTTTTTAAGCTCCTTGTGTGTTTCAGGAGCTGTTCATTTAGTTGGTGCAGCAGATGTATTTTGCTAATATCCCAGAGTAAGTAGTAACACGTTCTGTATTCACCCTGAGTGAGTGAGGGTATTCTGTTCATGGAGTGCTTAAGTGCTAAGCTTTTTTGCCACAATCATAACACACTTAATACTAGTTAAAGACGTGTAGTACCCTGCTAATGGTTTTAGGTGAAATATGTGGAAGTCCTTATTGATGTAATGATTTGTAAATGTCCAGATTATCCTGAGTTGCAGTCTAGGTTGGTAGCATGTAATGGAGCTTACAGTTATGGCAGATAGCTCCACAGTGACTTAAGGGAGGCAAGAAAGTTCTAGACACACACATGCTCTTTGGCTGGGAGCATCTTTGGTATCATAGGAATCTAGTTCAGTGAAAGGCTATCTGAGGGTTCCTGTTAGCAAACATGAGCTGTCCTTAACCACTGGAATAGCACTGTCTATTGATAATGTTGGTGAAACTCAGTTTAGCAGACTTGCTAGCCTGTGCTCTCTTCCCTCATTGCTTTTCACTTTTCTTTCTCAGGGATCCGGTCAGTGAGCTTCTATGAGCACATCATCACTGTGGGCACAGGGCAGGGCTCCCTGCTCTTCTATGACATCCGAGCTCAGAGATTTCTGGAAGAGAGGCTGTCGTCTTGTTACGGGTCTAAGCCCAGGCTAGCAGGGGAAAATCTGAAACTAACCACTGGCAAAGGATGGCTGGTGAGTAGTCCCTTGCTTGAGATAGTTGCTGGGCAGTAACAGAAAGATGTCCTCCCTCTAATACCCACTCCTGCCCCACTGACATATCACCCTCAGTTTTTCACTATTAAGAAGCCCTCCATGGTTCCAAGAAAGGCACTTTCTCCTACTTTGCTGTTGCATCTGCATATTGTCTATTAGAAAACAGAGGCCCAGTAAATTATACTGGATTCCTTCCAGTGGTAATATAGTAAGAAGGATAAGGAATTTCCAGCCACGGGTGCCAGTGAATTATACAGTTTGGTTCTAACCATTTTAAGAATTCCTCCGCTTTGTGTAGCAATCCCTCAACCTGCTCATTTCTATTTTAGTGTTTATTTGGAAAAGTGAGGCCCTGTTTCTTTGAGAACCAATTTCCTTTCATCAGGTTATAGGTATAGGACTCTCTTAAGGAGACCAGAAAGCATTCCTGTCCCTTTCCACTTTCCTACCCCACAGTCTAGAGATCTAACACTTTTTTTCTCTTCCCATAGAATCACGATGACACCTGGAGGAATTACTTTTCAGACATTGATTTCTTCCCCAATGCTGTTTACACCCACTGCTACGACTCGTCTGGAACGAAGCTCTTTGTGGCAGGAGGTCCCCTCCCTTCAGGGCTCCATGGGAACTATGCTGGGCTCTGGAGTTAATGGCAACTAACTTTCTCCTAAAATGCAGATTTACACTAACATCTACCCTCAGTTTCCTTGTTTCTTCCTTTGATTTGTTTTCCCGATTGTGTGAGGCTTTTCTGTTTTAGTGGGAACACCCAAGTTTGCTGGTGGTTTAGGCACCTAATAGGAAGAAGCTTTGTACAGAAATGCAGAGGGTGTTTTTTATTGTTGTTTCCTTTGTCTTTTCCCATCTGGTATTTGGGGGTTTTATTATCATTTTTTTTTCTTTCTAACTTCTCAACCAAACTTTATTGCAAATCCTGTTTGTATTTTTTCTTAAGTGACACATGCTCTTCCCTCTTTGGCTTCATAAGGCCGAAATGACATGGTCATTCTCACCCTTACTTCACTCCTGAGAGGTAGGCTCCTTTATAATTATGTGGTAGCTGTCAGACTTTCTGTGAAAGCCTGGGAGCTGTGTGTGTGCGCCCGTGTGCATGTGAACTTGTGTGCCTATAGGTATTGTGTCACTAAAATTACCTGGAGTGAGGATTACTTGTAATTAAAATATTTATAAAAGAAACAACTTTACTCAGAGTCCAACTTTGGGACTGGTCTGTATCTTGTTTTCTAAAGCCTAACAACATAATAGAAAGTAAAACTAGAAAAAAAGTTACTACTAGGAATATCCTTAGAGTTAGATTTCAGAGTGCCTGGGGCTTTCTGTGCCAGGACTCCAAAGTGATCTACCCCCACCTACCTTCACACCTGTGTGCCCCCCAAGTGAGTACACTTAGGTGTGTGTCACTTTTGCTTGGCAACCTCCCAACTACTTAGCCAGTGGCCACTTTCTGAAAACATTAAGTGCAGCTCTGGAGGCTGTAGAAAGATTTGGTAAAGTGAATCTACATCCCAGTCTCCTCCTCCTACCCTCAAATAAGACCTGACCTGGCATTTCAGAGGTCTGAGGCTGTGGAGGTCGTAAGTCTGTTAAGATTCCTATGCATAGTCCTCTTGGCTTTGAGAAGAAATTTCTCTACCATTCTTCCAGTCTCCCTAGTGGGTTTTAAAGCTATCTTCTAAATTGGGTTCAGTCCAGGAGGGTGGGGTTATCTGTGTAATGAGTGCTTCATGTGTGGAGTATTTGTTTTCTCAGTGCCGTGGGGCCTAGGGCTGGAGTCACCTCCTGCTCTGTTGGCTCAGCCCTGGTATGGTGATAAAGTGGCCTGTAGCCAGCATCACTGTGCATGTAACAGCATTGATGTGATTAGTAACATGTTTGTACCTCCCTTCACTTGTCTGTTTAGTCTGAGGTTTTTAAACTTGCAGGTAACTAACTGATACCCAGTTGTTCCTGCTTTTTATACATCTTAGTGAAGAAAATAACTGCTCCTACCCACAGATTCTTCCTCTGAGGAAATACATTGCTTCTTTGTCAACATCCCATCCTGGGGAATGGAAACATCATATATTTATTCCTGTACCCCAGTGGCTCTCACAGTTATCCCCTTCTCTGGGTGTAAGAGGGGATATTGGAAAAAAGAGCACTGTCTTCATAACGTGGGGAGGGCAAACAAGTGTGTCCTAATTTGGTACACAGCATACACTGATTCTGAAATTCTTCTAACTTAGAGAAATAGGTGCTATAAACAAGGAATTAAGCAAAATGCTGGATGCTGGAAATCTTTTGTCTTAATTTTTTTTCTATTAAACTACAGGCTGTAGATTTCTTAGTTCTCACAGAACTTCTATCATTTTAAACTGACTTGTATATTTTAAAAAAAAATTCTTAAGTAGGATGTTTTGTACTGTTACCAGACCCTCTTCTATGATGGGTAATGCGTTTGATCATTTGAAATTTTGTTTTTAAAAATGTAGCAATTGAATTTTTGCCATGGAAAAAATAAATATTACTGCAGTACAGAGTAGTTTGAGTGAGTCTCTGTAGTCAAAAGGCTGCCTGGGAATTGGTTGGAAGGTGCGTTAGGACTACGTGGGACAACACAAGTGTTTCCGTGAAGTCACAAGTGGGGATACAGGTGCTAAGGCCTGCTTGCTCCTGGTCCCCAGCTCTGGCCCAATCTCAATAGCTCTGGGGTCCACTGGAGCATGACTATGCCCAGGGAAAACTATGCCCTGAAGAAACACTGGCTGAGCATGGGGAGGGCAGGTACTTGTCCCTGCTCTGTTTGTTTTTTTGTTTTTGTTTTGTTTTTTGAGACTATCTCACTATGTAGTTTGTGTGGCTTTGAACTCACTGTGTAGCCCAGGCTGGCTTGAACTCACAGTAGCCCTCCAGTTTCGTGATCCTAGGTGCTGGGATTACAGGTGTGCACTGCCATACCTGGCTCTCTGACTATGGATTTGAGCAAGTAGCACTGGTTGATAGATCTTTTTTTTTTTTTAACAGTGCTGGGATTAGAGATTACAGGTGTGTGCCACTGCACCCATCATATAGGTCCTTTCTGTGTCAGTGGGTAGTGTCAGTGTCCTGGGAAGAGGATGCTATTTTTACAGTTGGAACTCCACTATACTTTCTAAAGAGTAGAAATGTAGGGCTGGAGATTTGGCTCAATGGTTCTGCCGCCTGCCTCACAAGCACAGGGGCCTGAGTTCGATCCCTGGTACCAAAAAAAAAAAAAGTGGATATGGAGATCATGCTAAGCAACATTCTTCCTAGAGCCTCTTTGGAGCTGTACCTGAGAGTGGTCGACTGCTGTCATACACAGCCATCTCTGGAACACCCACCGGCCTGGACCACTGAGCCTGTCCCTTTTCCTCTCTTTGCCAGGGCAAGCTGGCTACTGATGCTCTTCACATCTGCCTTAGAAACTGATAAAGTCAGACCCTAACTCACATGGGCACTTCTGTGATCAAAGGCTGCAAGATAGGAAGGGGAGTGGAGGAGTTTAAGCAATTTGAGAAGGCTTCCTAGGAAAGTTATATTTGGACAGGGACTGGAACAAGGTTTTTCTGTAAGGAGTTTAATAGATCCTAAAGAGTATTGGTGCTTACACAAAATGATCCATTGTTTTTGGGAAATGCAGATTGAAACAAACATCACTTTACATTTTGCTAGTTACTTTGGGACTCACGTTCCCTGGAACATGCTCAAAGAAAGGCGATTTAGGGGAGGTGGGATGGACCTGCCTGGGCATGTAGCCTGTATGAAATCTTGACCTTGCTCTTATTTTCCAGCAAAATAAGTATCACAGAAGGGCTTTGTGGACTTTATGGTATCCCCTCCCTCCCAGCTGTCCCTTTTCGCAGGCTGTGAAAGAACCTCCTTGTATTCTCAGAATACATACTCATTCCTCATTCCAAATAGTCTGTCTACTGGGTCCTCCCATCATTTTTTGCGGGAGGGTACCAGGGATCAAACTCGGGTCCTTTGCGCTTGCAAGGCAGGCGGTGGAACCACTAGCTAAATCCCCAGCCCTCTCCCATCATTGTTTGGGTCCTTTTGCAGAAGGCTTTGGTACTGAATTGAATTCCTAGCCATTTAAGCCTCATTAATATCCTGGTTCCCTTGTCCTGGTCTTTGGCCCTTAATCTCAATTCCTCCAAATCATGTAGAAATTACAAATGTGAGAAAATCCGGGCCTGGTTGTGCATCCCTGTAGTTCCAGAATTTGGGAGGCTGAGGCAGAAAGATTGCTGTGAGTTGTAGGCCAGCCTGGACTACATACAGAATGAGACCCAGAAACAAAAAACAAAAACAAATGTGAGAAACAGAAAAACTACCACCAGAGACAAAGGTGTGCACTAAACTCAAGATGAAGCTTTTTATCTCTTTTATGATTCACCTCTCCAAGACAGGTGTGAGCTGTCCTCTGAAACTCCCCCTGGGTTGGGCCTCACATCTGAATACTCTTGATTACTGTGTAATTGCTGAAGTCAGAAATTTTAAAGGGTAATAATACTCATTAACTGAGCTCATAGTAACATGTTTACTGCGCTTCTTGTTAACTGCACTCAGAGATGTAATTAGCAATCCCTAGTGATACAGACAGGAAGAAAACAAATGATCAACTACTGTCTTAAAGGATTAAAAAGTCCCAGCCGGGCACAGTGGTGCAGGCCTGTAAACCCAGCACTTGGGAGGCCAAGGCAGGATCCTGGGCAACTTACCCTGACTTGTCACTAAATAATTAAACACACACATACACACACAGCAAAACTATCACTTGTAGCTTTTTTTTTTTTTAAAAAAAACTAGTAATAGCCTGGGCAAATGACTGTGGAGAAAATGAAGAGGTATCTTTATTCTCCAGGTGTTATGGTTTCGATCTCATGTTCCCCAAAAACTCCTGTGTAAAGGCTTGGTCCCTAGCTCGTGGAGACAATGGATGGAACCTTTTAGGAAGTGCAGCTTGGAAGGAGGAGATTAAGTCACTGAAGGCAGGCACTTCAAGGGGATATTGGGACCCTCTCTGCTTTACAGCTGCCGTGATGTGTGCGGGGTTCCCCCACCATGATGTTCTGCTTTGCCATAGGCCTGCCTGAAGGCGATAAAGCTGGCTGACTACTAAAACCTTTGAAACTATCAGCCACAATAAAATTTTCCTCCTTTATTTGTTTCTAGTATTTTGTCACAGTGATGGAAAGTTGAATAACACACCAAAATGAAGGCATTTGTCAACAGCTGAGAAGATCATTGAGCTGGGTATTTTGGTGTGAAGTATAGAAGTTTGGGCCCTACCATGTATTATTTACTTGAGAAACAGCTCTCATTTTTACACCAGCCCCTCTTTTTTTTTGTACCAGGGATTGAACTTGGGTCTTTGAGCTTTCGAGGCAGGTGGCCGAACCACTGAGCTAAATCCCCAGTCCCTACACCAGCCCCTCTTGTTTCCCTAGGCTGTTTATTATGCTGAGAATACAAAATTATCACAATTACCATGCTTTGGATTAGTCTGGTTTAGAATGGGTAGAATGTTTAAAGGTAAGCAGAGATTGGGAATGTAGCTCAGTGGTAAAGCATGTGCCTGACATGCCAGAAGCCATGGGTTAATTTCCTAGCACCACAAAAAATTGAGTATGGTGATACATGCCTGTCATTCCAGCACTGGGAGGATGAGGTAGAAGAATTACAACTTTGAACCCAGGCTTAGCAACTTAGTGACTTAGCAAGGCCCTATCTCAAAATTTACAAAATAAGGCTGGAGGTCCGAGGATTTAGTTCATTGGTGCTGCCTGCCTCACAAGCACAAGGTCCTGAGTTTGATCCCTGGTACCAAAAACAACAACAATAAAAAAGGCTGAAGGTGTTAGTGTGAAGGTTTGGCTTCAATCTCAAGTGTGTAAACAATAGTAAACTGCCAGACATAGCGGTACACACCTGTTATCCCAGCACTTGGGAGGCTGAGAGAGGAGAATCACCATGAGTTCAAGACCAGCCTGGGCTATATAGTGAGTTCAAGGCCAGACTAGACTACATATCAATCAGTCAATCAATCAGTCAATCAGTAGGGCTGCAATATAGCTCAATGCAAAGGCCTGGGTTCAATCCCTAGTACAAAACAAAAAAATCCAGGCCTAATGGCACACATCTGTAGCAATCTCGTTAGCTACTTGAGAACTAAGGAGGATGGCAAATTCTGAGGCAAGCTAGGCAATTTAGCAAAATGTTGCAGAAAATAAAAAGTGCTGCCGGGTATGGTGGCGCACGCCTGTAATCCCAGCACTCAGGAGGCTGAGGCAGGAGGATCACTGTGAGTTTGAGACCAGCCTGGGCTACATAGCGAGTTCCGGGTCAGTCTCAACTACATAGACCCTGTCTCAAAAAAACAAGCAAACAAACAAAGAAAGAAAATGAAGAAGATAAAAGGTGTCGCGAGCCGCGACGTCGGGGTCCTGCCAGCAGGCCCCAAACCTGAGAGGATTCACCGAGAGTAAACACACTGAGTCATGCTCAGATTCAAACAGATTTCTTCTTTATTCTTCTTTTACTTCTACTTCTAATACTACTTCTACTACTACTACTACTACTACTACTCTCTGCCAGACGGCTCTCACACTTATATCAGGCAATAATATGAAGGTAAAAACAGCTTCAAGGATGAAAAACAATCTCAAGGATAACTGTACAAGGCCACAATTATGGCTTCACAGAGTACACATGATTTACAAGAAACAGGTGCTTTTTCTGGAAAGCGAAACTCAGCTCTACAAAATAGTTATTGTAAATAATGCCATAAGATGGCAGCCGATCACGGCCAATCAGAACTTACAACATAGCAACTCCTTCGCTCAGGGAACTGCAATGCAAGCAGCCAGCTGTCTTGCAGTCAGTCTCCCACAAAAGGGGCTGAGAGTAGAGTTCAGTGATTGAGTGCTTGTGTAGCACAGCATGGGCAATTTCCAGTCCTACCTCATCCCCTAAAAAAAGTTGGGCTGAGATGAGGTAGAGCAAATGTCTAGGTCAGTGGTGGCGAACTTATGGCATGCATGCCACAGTGGCCACACACAGCTCTCTGTCCGCATTTGAGCCAAGTTGCCCCAGCATCACCCTCACAGCCAAGCATCAGATAATAGTGCACATAGGGGCCATGTCCATGCTCAAAGAGTAGCCGTGCCAGGTGATGATGTCATAAGCTGCAACTCATTAGCTCCGAGTCCTCCAAGCCTTCACACAGCTGGTCAGTATTCATGTTTAATT